TTCTGGGAAGGAGGTGTGATTACAGAGTGCTTCTGGGAAGGCACAGAAGTTTTCCAAGCCTGTTGAGTGTGAGCTGACAGCACTACTAGAGAATAAGAAGTGCTGTGGATGAGCAGTGCAGCGCTCCAGGAGACTTCAGCAGTAGATAAAGCATCTAAGATAAGACATCTCTTGCAGTAGATAAGTTTGATGCAGTTGTGGACTGGAGAGAGGTGGTTAGGCAAAGCCAGCTCTGCGTGGAAGGTTGCTCTGTGCAATCCTTGCTCAGCTTCTCTTTGAGGTGCCAAAGCTTCCCAGCTGGCTGTGACATGTATTTTGTGTGCCCAGAGACCTTGGCTTGTTTTGATGCTGTGTCTGTTTTGGAGAACATTTTTAAAAAACAAAAACCACCACCAACAAAAAAACCACAAACAAAAAAACCAAACCAAACAAACAAAAAAACCCCAAAACGTTGTGTAGAGAAGAGGAGTCTGCGTTGGGAACCGTTTTAACCCTAGGATTCCTCTGCCCTCAGCCGTCAGTTGGCACACCAGTGATCAGGTCTCTCTGACTATCCCTGTGGATTTTAGGTGTGTGCCTCACCCTAAACTCTGATGCTGCAGGATTTGTATCAATAGCAAGGTAAGGAAGTGGGTGCGCTGGTAGCAAACAGCTCAGCTCTTTTTGGATTTGTATTTATATTTGTATCTGTTGCAAAAACATGAGGCACTCCTCTGCCTTCGATGATTAGCAGTGTCTGGCTGATGGTTGGTATAGTACCATGACAGGCTACATTTCTAGCTTAGCAGGAAAGCACAAACTGGTAAAACCATGTGAATGAGGCTGCTGCAGCCTCCTGGGTTTGACCGTAGTGTGTCCAGTGGCCACTTTGGGCATAGAGGTGTGGCTTCAATCTTTTATTTTCTTTATTTTTTTTCTTTTCCTTATTTTCTTTTTCACTAACCCTTTCTCACTACTTCAGGAGACTCAAAACCCTTTTTATAGAAACCAGCGTGGCCCAAAGCCAGTATTTTGATTATATAAACAGGCTTCTTTCCTTGTGCTGTGCTTCAGTATAGCACTGACTTGTTTTCCTGGAAATCCTCTGAAAAAGTCAACTTCACTACTAGTGTAGCTATGTCACAGAAGGCAAATACAAAGCCAAAATGGCTTCTGAGCCGCAGAGTATGGCAAGGCCTCAAATATCAAAGTCCTGTGTAGCAGCAAGTATTCAGGCAAAACTGTTCCTGACTTAAATTTTGAGAGAGAAAAATTGGCAATAGTTGCTGCCTTTGTGTCACGTAGTCCCCTCCTCCACTTCCTTGGATGCCCTCTAAAAGTTAATTCATTACTGTTTGTAAAGGACCCTGCATTTCTCTGCTGCCAAATGCCACTGAGGTACCCTGTGCTTCTGTTGGGTCTGCTTGTTTGCTTTCCCCCTTGGCAGCATGCTGTGACATGGCCTTCTTCAGGGTAGTAATAATAATAATTGAAAAAAACAACCCTCCAACTACACAAAATGCAAAGCGACAAAATGTAGAGCCTTACTGATAATTGCCTACAAGGAAAACCGAGTTTCCCGTAGCCCCTGGCCTGTGCAAGAGGGCTTTTTTTCTCATGACATAGGTTTTGAGTCTGAACTGTTGCGTGAAAATGCTTTTTGTGTCCTGATACGCTTTTCTGTATTCTGGTAGTTTGCTACAATGCCTGAAATAAATTAGGCTGCCAGATCCTCTTGGTAGGACATGAGGAGGATCCTCACTCTGACCTTCTCCAAACAGGCAGTTAAGTATTTAAACTTTCTGTTCATTTTCTTCCTGCCCCTCCCCATTCTTTTAAAATCCTACGCGCAAGGAAGGCCTCAGTTCGCTGAAGCGCGGGCTGACCGAATGCAGTGACCGACATGGTGCTGAACAACTCCTGAGGCGCTGCCGCAAGGAAACGGCCTCCGCACGCGGGCGGCGGGAAGGCTGCCCGCTTCCATTGCCCTCGGAGCCAGAGGAGGCTTTGCTGCCGCCGCCGCACCTTGCTTGCAGGGCCGCAGAGGGTCTGCCCTGCAGTGGAAAGTCCCCCCAAAAATTAATTTCTGTCGGGAGACGACAGGCTTCCTTAGCGTTTTGCTCCTCGGGCCTGCTCTGGATGTTTATTTGCTTGGGGTTACCCTTCTCCTTACACACTGTGTTGCACAAGTGCATCGGTTCCCTTTGTGCCCTGCTTGGGACGGCTGTGCCTGTTTTGGGGGGGGTGTCCTTGTTGCTTTGCAGCTCTGGCGTGGGGCAGGGCTGGCTGTCCTGCGCCGTGCAGGGTGAGGCTTTGCCTTGATGTGGATAAAGAGGCTGAGCAACACAGCCCAGAAGGCTCTGATTCAGCCTTCTCCTCGCTCCTGCTAATTATTGTGACCCTTCTAATTTTCTTGTCTGCCGCATCTTCTCTTTAATATTTTTTTTTTTTTCCCTTTAAAAGAGAATTTGAAGAGAGAATTCGCAGTACAGCTGTCTTCCTAACCTGGCCGTGCTTAGGATGGACTACATGGGAGACAGAAATGGTCTGGTAGAAATTTAGGAAACTGATGTTTAATTACAATTCTCTCTATAGAGAGCAGGCTCTCTGTGTGATTGGGGTATCTCATATGTGGGGCTGAACCTGTACTGGATTTGCATCAGCAAAAAATAGCTGGGCTTTAATTTGCAGGGCGATGATGGTTGCTTATTGCACTGTAAAAGCTTTATTATGTTTGGATTTTGGGTGCATGTGCCAATGAATTGGTGGGGTAGGTTATTTAGCGAGGGGATAGAAGGAGTAGTAGGTGGGGAAAGCCGTCATCCTGATGATAACGCTCTCTGTGCGATCCAGGGAAAATGTATATGTATTTAAAAAAAAATTTACTCTCTCTTGTGATGGATTGTGTTTTGTCCTAATAGAGCTAGTTGGTCAATGGAGTACCTCCCGAACATTTCCCACTGCTGGGATGAGAGTCCTCACGCTGTCCGAAATGAGTGCAGTGTATTGGCAGAGTATAACTGTTCATTTTTATCTTCTTGTTCTTCGTTGGTCCTAGTTTTCCAAATGTTGCATTTTGAGATGAAACTCTGTGGAGTTTTACCTTCCTGGGAAGCGGACATGGAAAAACTCGGTCACGTTTAAATGCAGTCAGAAGGGGGGATGCGTGCTGCTGCCACATGACTTCTTTTATGAAATTTTGGTTTTAAGCTGCAGCAAATTCACAGCAGCAATCAGAATTTTGTCAGGGAGAAATAAACTGGCTTTCACTTGTTCCGTGTCAGTGCCTATGTGTGTGTGGCAGTGGGTCAGTCTGTACTACTTCATTGAAGGAAAATTATTTCCTTGATTAAATAGTGGCTTTTTATTACATATCAGTAGCTGAGTGCTTAAATAGAGTTGCTTTTAACAAACCTGATATGCAGAAGTATGAAGGACTGGCACCGGAAAGGTAAAGCTTCTTTAAGATGACCTAGCTGGATGCAAAAGACCCCACCAAACAGTCCTAAAGATGGAATTTCCTTAAAAAAGCTGAATTCTTCATCTTAAAGGTATACAGCTGATGAAATATGGCGCTGTACCGTAATACTGACTGGTGAAGGTACACAGTGAACAAGTCTGGGTTTGTTCTCAGAATCTCGTGAATGGGCTGGCATCTACGCTTAATGCACTGATCAGTGGGAGCGGGGCAGCTGGAGAATGAGGATGGCAGAGGGTGTGTGTGTGTGTGTTTAAATTACTGGGGTGTGAAGCCGAAGTTTAATATTAGCACAGGGCACAGGAAAATTTAAATTGCCCCTCCGGGAGCATGCGTTGAATCAGTGGTAGTGCTGAGAATTGAATTTAGGTCTTAATTTGTTGATGTCTTATTTTCCCACGTTACTGTCCTTGTAATGTTTTCTTCCTATGTTGTAACGCGTGAGAATACTTGGGTGCTTTCTTTAGGAGAGGCTTTGTTGGTAAGTGTGAACTTTACAATTAACTGGCAACAAATGTGTTGGCAGTTCCCTTATAATTTTTGTGGATTCAAAATGAAATTAAGTGTGGGTTCTTGGCAAACTCCAGCTGGCTGGATCGGTGATCTCGGTGATTTGCTGAGAATACTGCTGCCAGCCGGACACCATGCTGGGGCATGGAGCCAGAGCAACGTGGAGAGAGCTAAGTCCTAGATCCCGTGTGTGTTGGCATTTTTAAACACCATAGCTCTGGCTTGTTTTGAAATAGTGTCCTGTTTTTTGGTAGCAGTGCCTACAGCCATCTCTCTCTGTTCTCGATTGCAAAGGAAGATACCCCTGGGTTGAGCCTTTCCTGCTGCTGGTGCATGTGCTGTTTTGCTCCTGTGTGTTGTCATTTTATGTTGAGGCATCGCTTCAAAGCGACTGAGGGAGCATCACTGCTCCTTATTCTGTTCCTCATCTGGGATTTAACAAGCAATACTGAGGTAATGCCTTCTCCGGCAGCCATACTCCTCAGGCAGTGATCTTATCTTGCTGTGAAAGCTGAAGAGATTGGGCTCTTGTCAGTGTTCGGATGGAGGAGATTTGAAGAGCTGTGAGGTGTGGCTGGAAATGACTCAAAGGGAAAAGCATCCCTCCTGAGCCGGTCCCTCCATCTAGGCTGGCCAGCTACAGCAAAACCAGCGTGGTGCTCTGATCTTCAGCCTGGGCAAGGTCTCTGCATCACAGCTATTGTACTGCCGAAGCAGGCTGTGAGTTGGTCTTCTGCATTTTCCCATGCTGCAGGCAGCCTAGCACTTCAGTTTGTGCTGCCCTTGTTTAGGGATTTCCTGTCATTCTCCTGTTGAGGTGAGGGCAGAGACATTCATCTTGCATCTCAAATGAAAGTTCGGGTCCTAGAGAGAGTAGTTAATATTCTGTGTATTGCACAATTCTGTGGGCGTGACAACCCTGTTCCAAATAATGTTGCTATTTCTTCTTCCTTTTTTTTTTTACTTTAAGGAAACAAAGGAACTTGTTGCATTTGGGGGGTTTTGTCTTGTGTTTTTTTTCTTTTTTCCCTAGCATCCAGCGAGCTGCACTGGTGGTTCTGGAAAATTACTACAAAGATTTCACAGTCTACAACCCAGCCTTGTTAACAGCCTCCAAATCCCGTGCAGCCAAGCACATGGCTGGCCTGAAAGTCTACAATGTTGATGGTAGGTGACGTTGAAATGTAGTCTCTGAGACTGGGTGGGACAGGGAAGGGCTGGGTTGGCTTTATGCTTTGTTATGCGCACATTCTCACCTTTTTGCTTTGCCAAATCCTTGTCTCTTGCTGGAAATCTTCCTAACAGCGCTGAGTTTGCCAGTTCCAGATGACTTTACAGATGTGTTTAGCCCACAATAAGGCTTTTGTCTTTGCCAGGTGAAATGGCCAAGTTTTGGGTCAGGCTTAATTGTTATATGGCTTGACAGGCGCTTTTCGGCACCACTGCCTGTTTTAGGCAGCCTCTGCTTTTTTGTCACCCTTGGGTCATCTCCTTGGTTGTGATAGTACAATAAATACAACTTTTAACCTAAATGAGTTCCCCGATCGTTTATTGTGCTGCTTCCACAGGCAGCCTTCAGGAAAATGAAGGAGGCTGGTGCCAATGTGGGAAGAAGCAACTGTGTAAGCACCAGTTGCCAGCAAAAGCAATGCTCATCGGCCTGCAGCCTTAGCACTAAAGTAGCTATGCCTGGCTTACGCATGGTCGTGCTCCCAAGTCATCGTGGTGCTAAGCAGTTAATGGAAATTCAGAGACAAATAACTATCTGCCTTGAGCTCTGCCACTCTACAAACCTGTTTCAAACTTTCTGGCTTTAAAGAGGCCTATGGGAGGATGGATGGGTGGATCCCTGTGGACACTTAAAGCAGTGAAAACTGGACTTAATCATTTGACACTTTTAAACCCTATCAGTGAAAGCTAGGCTTGATAAGCAGGGTGTGCCCAGCCATCACAGCCTTTATAAAAGTGCGTGTTCCTTTGATGGAAGAGCTGAAGTTGTGTACAGAAGCTTTTATGGTGAAGGATGGCCAAAGTCCTGTGACAAAATGTGGTACAGCACATCCTGCCCATGAATTCATTAGTATTGGAAGGCTTTGGTAGCTGGAAGGGAGAAGGGACTGAAGGGACTTAGCTTGGCAAGGTGGCTCTGTGTACAGTGTGTGGAGACCAAAATATGGAGACTATTTATCACATGGAAAAACATGAGGCATGATTGTTTTGCCTTCAACAAAGTTTCACTGCCTTATGGGTGGGTGTTTTGTTTGTTTTTTAGAGGGATCACCTTCATTTTTGGTGACTTCACAAATTTCAAAGACCTTATTCTAAGTGTTTCCCCAAACCTGATGCAGCACTGGCGAGTCTGTAAAATTAATTGGAGGTTTAAATCCTTACAGTTCGATGTCCCCACCTTGACAGAGGAAGGGTAAAGGGGGAAGGAGTGGGCAGGGAGAGGGGCAGGCTTGTCCATTGTGTCTCCCCTGCTGCCTGGAGTGAAGAGGTCTCAGGTGGGAGAAGACAAGTTGAGTTGGAGAGGGGAAGCAAACAGACTTGCTCTGCACTTCTCTGGAGGTGACAGTTTTCATTCCAGCTGCTCACTCTGTGAGACCTGGTGTGTGGAAAGTGAGGGCTTCCCGATCCCACAAGTGTCTGCATACCATTCAAACCCAATGGCAGGACATGCCGTTCTGGTTACTAGCTGGCTTCTCTTCACCTGTGCTGCAGCATCTCTTCAGGGGGCAGCAGTTCCTGCAGCACCTGCTAAGATGTTGGGACTCCCAAGATTGGAGGCAAAATTACCAGTCTGGTAGCGTTAGTACCTTAGGAATTGCTAGTTCACAAGGGTTTGAAAGAGAAGGAACCAGAAGCAAGCTCCAGATGTGACTGGCAGGCCTTTTCAAGTGTCAAGCTCATTAGCATGCCAGGGCCCAAAAATTTGTGCCTTCTGTTCTGGGGCAGTACTGGTTGCCTGGGCTGTTCCTTGTGCAATGCCACTGCCTTTGTGAACATGGAAATCTCAGCCTTAAAGGCATGTCCTTAAGAAAATTCCCATCCATTTTATGAAGCAGAGTGTAGTTCTGGCTGCAGCTTACCTTGGCATTCTGACAGTCTCTTACACTCTCCATGTGAAAAGACAATAATGCTATTAAGGCAGCCTAATTTGTTGGCAGCTTTTGTATTTGATACTGGAGCAGCCAGGAAGGAAAAACATCTTGCCGTAATCTCTTTTATACAGAGTGGGGAGGCTCACCTTCAAAACCAGGATTTTCATCGCCAGGCATAGTCAATGAGGCAAATTACAGTTCTAACCCAAATTTGGGAGCTAGTGACTCCCTTGAGTCATATCCTCTATCTCAGGGCTGTCAAACAAATTTTGAAGTGTTTAGACTCTTAAGAAGCTGTCTGTGAATGCTTGTCCTTCGCACTGCTGAGCTTCAAGCTTCTGTCTTGGAATCTGGTTTGTGCTTTTTAGGAAAAAATTAAAAAGTTGCCTTTGCGTGAACAGAAGAATTTTAAGCATGTCTGTGCAATTGATTGTCCTTAATCACTGCCAGTTGAGAGTGTGGGCTTTCAGAGCAATTAGTCAGAAAAGCAACTCGCTGTGGTTTGGGGGCAGTCCTAAACTGCTTTTTCCCTCTGGGTAGACCTAGCTCTATCTTCTGTCTAGATGGGAGGGTTGGTAGACTCTTCTAGGGCAACGTTTTTTCCCTGTCTTTGCCCAAACAGCAAGAGCTGTGAGCTTCATGGGTGAGCTGCAGAACCTACTACTGTTATCTTAAGTTCACTAGTTAAGGTCTTATAGTAGGCAGCTCTGTCACTTGATCGGGTGTTACAGAGCAGATTGCGGCTTCCCTGTTCCTGTAGCTGTGTAGCATCTGTTAACAGCATCGGGAGCCATAATGGCAGGTGCTGCTCAAAGTGCCATGAGAAGCTACTACATATACGCACCCCAGCCTACCCTATTGCAGGACTGCTGCTTTGACAGCATCTGCCCTTCTGGAAAACCCTATGCTTTGTCTGAAGGTGACCCTGCTGCCTCTGCATCCTGGTTTTCCTGCCTGCGTATAACTGTCTGGAGTTTGGCTTTAGTTCATTCATCTCCACGTCTCATGATGTTCTTGTGTTTGTCTTTCTCCTCTTTCCAACTCCTCACTTCTTGTGCTCTCACACTGTCTTGTTGCTGAAATGTGGTGTGTTCCAGCTGCTCTTGCCTTCAAACTGAAAACATATATAATGGGTGGTAAGTTGCATCCTTGGCATGTGCACCTCACCTCTGCCTTTTGTGTATGTTGTGTGAGATCCTTCATCCCAACTAACTTCCCTCGTCCACGTGCCAAAGCCCCCTTTCTGAGTCCATGCTGCCTAGCAGTGTTTCTGCCAGAGCTCCTGAGACTGGGGAAGGGTTTATAGCTTCGGCTGGGAAGGCTGGAGCCACAGAGCACTTGTGACACATGCTGTGGGGTGCTGGTCTGTCCCAGCCCTGGTCCTATGGCAGTAACGCTGCCTTTTTCATATCTTTTTTTTATTTTGCTCATCCTCACCTCCCAAAGGCCCAGGTAACAATGCGTCGGGGCAGTCCCGCGCCATGATTGCAGCTGCGGCCCGTCGCAGGGACTCCAGTCACAATGAGCTCTACTACGAAGAGGCTGACCATGAGCGCCGAGTGAAAAAACGCCGTGCGAGGTAAAGCCATCCCTTCCCGGGTACTGCTCCTTGATGCTGGGAGGCTCAGTCCCGTGGGGCTTGCCGAGCCTGATGAGGGGGGGGACCCATGATTAAGGGCTGGAGGTTGGCTGTAAATCTGTCACAGCAAAGTAGTGTATGAAACCCATATGCATAAGGGTTGGTGACAGCTTGCAGCGGGAATTATCTGAAGAACATGCATAAAGCAGAGCTCATGTATATTATGCAGATAAGCTAATGCAATGTCATGGATTAGGGAACAGTCCAGTGCTTGACAAATCTGTAGTTACTTGCTGTAGAAAATCCCATTGTTTTCCCCCATGCCCAGGCTTGTTATCTCAGCTCAAGTAATCCAGGGACAGGATCGGTGGAGCACTGGGTGTTGCCTGTTCATGGGCAAGGAGAATATTTGCATTTGCAGGCTACTAAAAAGGGCAGCTTAACTGCCCTTTTCAATGAGTTGGGGAGGAAGGATGTGACCAGAAGCGGTTACATTTTATTTGGGAACATAAGTATGTGTTCTGCCAGTCACACTTAGGCGGCAGAGTTGATGCTTTGTGGAGGTGACCTGAGGTAGTGCCTCTATTTGCTCTGGAGCCTAATTACAGTTTATAGTTAACATACCGAACAGTTTGAGGCAAGTTGCTTATGGATAGGCACTCCTGTGTTGGAAGGAACACCCTGTGTTTGGAAGGAATGTGCCATAACTGCAAGGAGCTGACTTGTTTTGTGTTTTCTTTTGGCAGTTTATATTTCATTGAGAAAGTACTGGCACAGCGTGTCCCCCCAGCCTGCTTTGGTCTGACCTGTGCTTTGTAACCACTGTCTTTTGGGCTCTCTTCCAGCCTCGGAGCAATAGGAACTTAAACTTTACTTTCCGTGCGGTATAGCATCCTAACTCGGGCACATCTCCCTTACTTGCTGAATTTCATTAGAACAGCTGCTTAGTCAGAGGAAAACCATCAGTCACTAGAAGGTCAAGCCGTGTTTCAAAGGAGGAAGGTCAGAGCTGCAGCAAAAAGCCATGAGGAGATTAGAAACTGATTTCCAGCCCCCACCTCCTCCAAGTCAAATTAAACCAAATGAGCAGGGGTCAGGGCTTCTTGTGCTGTTCCTTGTGTATAGTCTGAATGCCGTTTGCTTATACCTCTGCTTGTCACGAGGCAGCTTCCCCTGGCTTTAAGGTGCCTCAGGTTTTGAAGGCAGTGTGGACAGTAGTTGGTGACTTGAGTGGAAATCTAGTCTGAAACAAGTCCTGTCTGGAGGGGCAGAAGAGTTTTGTTGGATGACTCTTCCATGATCATTGTTTATTCCTCACTAACAGCAGTGTAGCCCCTCACTTGCAAGTTAGCCCAGTACTAAGTAACAATTTGTATGGCATCTACTTGCCTTTTTATGGTGTGGTCTTGGTATTTGCTCACCTGTGCCAACACAGGAACAGTTTGCAGAGGATGCTTCTAGCTGCAGTGCTAAGAGTGAAGACAGGAGCCTCGTCAGTGTGCAATGGAGAGGTACAGAGCAGTCGTTCGGCAGCACAAGTTCTGTACGCAGTTGGTGTAAGTCAGAGCAGACGGCAGCTTGTGAGCACAGAGAGTTTTGGAGCAGTCTGTGTCCTGGGTCACGCTAGTTTATAGCCAGCCTCTTCCTGACTGCTTGCCCATCCCTGTGCTTCACACTGCAGTACAGTATGCTGGAACCATTGTTTTCAAAGATGTGCATTAAACACAAGGGCAGCTGTGTCTTGTTTGAGTCGTGTAGCTGATGTTTATGCTGTGCTGGCAGAATCAAGTACAACACTCAAGCTTTTAAAGTCTTAATCCTGGTTTATGACCCCCAATTGCTGGATGGCTTGGGAAAGGAAAGAAAAACTGTTGTCTACTGCTCAGACTGTCAGTAGAGAAGATTTTATGTAAATTGTCTGATGGCAGGCTGTGACTCTGTGGCAGAAATGGGAATAGGAGCTTGTAAATCCTGACTCCCAGGCTCTGCCTAATCTGTCCTGATTTTCCTTCTGCAGGCTTGTGGTTGCGGTAGAGGAGGCTTTCACTCACATCAAACGTCTCCAGGCAGAGGAACAGCAGAAAGCTCCAGGAGAGATGATGGACCCCCGAGAAGCAGCCCAGGCAATCTTCCCCTCCATGGCAAGAGCTCTGCAGAAGTATCTTCGCACCACCCGCCAGCAACAGTACCACAGCATGGAGAGCATCTTGCAACACTTGTCCTTCTGCATCACCAATAACATGACACCAAAGGTAATGCTTTGTCTAACGTTGGTGCAGGAAGGAGGGAGAAAGGGATGGCACATCTTTGTGTGCACACAGAACGGAAAACTGTCAAGGGAGGTGAGTGGAGGTTTTCATAGGTGCTGTCTGTGATATGATCAGTGCATTGTAGGTTGCTTCAGGTCTTAAAGGGAAGTAATGTTTCCTCTGCAGTGTCTTCTGTCTCTTTTTATATGAAAGTGCCTGAGAGATTATTGTTCTCATATCCCGTTCAGCAAAGGGAGTCCCAAAGAAGTGTTTGAGAGGGTGGCCTTGAGTCACAGGAAATTCTCCTAGCTGGCTGTCATGGTAGCAGCATGATGCAGGTAGCAACCTGGAAAGGACCGTTTTTTCGTGTGTATGGTTTTTTAGTTTTTTGGGGATTTTTTTTGTGTGTTGGTCTTTTTTTGTCCCCTCTGCAGTGCTGCGTGTTGGACTGCTTCTAATTATCACTTAAATCCCTGTCTGTGGGCCAATGTTTCTAATTCATGGGCCGCTTGGTTAAGCATCAATTTGCTGCTTCACGCCCTGACTGTGACTGTTGACCTGCAGACATAAGGAGGGACTGAATGATGAGGGAAACAGGTCACACGATCCCTCTCCCACTCTCCATGTTCCCTGCTAAGAACACTCCACAATCCTAGAGAAGGGTTAGAAATGCGAGAATTTAGTCCTGGGCATTTGCCCAGGACTTATTACACTAAGAGCAGAAATGCTGTCAAGGGATGGGGCTTAGTACCCTCTCACTGGGATCCACCTGGGACCTTGCCCAGGTATGCAAGGGGGAGTTCTACTGCCATTAAGATTGCAAAGGAGACTTTAAAACAGAAGCAACGTCAAACAGCATTCCCTGTTCTGCTTTCAATTTTGCAGCCTCAATCAGGCTGCAAACATGGAAACCTCTACTTTCCACCTTAGCTTGGCCTGAAGAAGGTAGGGCCAGCTAAGCCATCTGCCTGTCTGGGACTGCAATTTTGGGACAGGCTATGGGGCTGGTAGGGATGAAATGACCTCTACTCTACTGAACTGCTGCTGAATGGCAGTGCTGACATCAGAAGTTGGGGCTATAACTTTTCAAGCTTGCTGGGATGGACTGAAAGAGGATCTTCTGGTGGTTATGTCTGCTCCTGGGGTCTGGAAAGCTGGGAGGGACTGGGGAGAGGATGTCTTCTGAAGCGTGGAAGCTGAAACAATTTGCAGCGTGGCAAGCCCACGCTTACGGAGCTGTATCTGGGGATGGGAAGAAAGCATCGATGCGGAGCAAGTCGTGGGGCTGACGCCAATGTGTGTCCCTCTCTCGGCAGGCGTTCCTGGAGCGTTACCTCAACCCGGGCCCAACCCTCCAGTATGACAGGAATCGCTGGTTCTCCAAGCAGTGGACGCTTGTCAGCGAGGAAGCGGTCACAAGCGGGTTACAAGATGGCATCGTATTTGTCCTCAAGTGCTTGGACTTCAGCCTTGTTGTTAATGTGAAAAAAATCCCCTTCATCAAACTCTCGGAAGAGTTCATAGACCCTAAATCTCATAAATTTGTCCTCCGCTTACAGTCTGAAACTTCAGTCTAAGGGATTTTGAGGGTGGGTTGTTTGCGGATTTTTTTTTCAATATTGTGCTTTTGGGTTTAATTTCCCCAATGCTGACTGAAACTGGCAGATGATGGACCAGTAATATTTGACCATCTGCACTTTATTTGGAAAGGGGAGGGGGGAGTTGGGATATCTTATCTAGAAAGAAATATCTTAAGAGGCGACAGGGTGACTTGGTTCGGTTGGCTCAGCCTTGGAGACAGAACAGATTTTTTTTTTTTCCTTTCCCTCCCTTCTTTCCAGGCATACTGTAAATCTTACGCTTGCCCTTTCTCAGCACAATTGCAACATCGGTATTTTTGGTGGAGTGCTGCCTTACACTGTGCACGTGCCTGTGCTTTTGTGTCTCTGCTTTTGCTACCTGTAGCTGTTTCTGAGCATGTTGCTCACCTCTCTGGTATAGAAACCTTCTTGCTTGGAGGTGTGGAAGTCCCTGTTCACTCCGGGGGGGAGAGGGTATCAAAAGGGGTGGGTGTGAGAGGGCTGCTTCTGTGAGCTGCCTAATCTGGAGACTGAAGGCTTTCATTATTTTCCTCCTCTCCATGTCCCTTCTGTCACTGCTGCACCTGTACGAGCGTAGTGGGATGGGTTTACTCCCTGTGTCTCTGAAGTTGCTTCTCTTGAACTGGATCAGCCCATCTTACAGCTCTTCAAATTTTTTTTTTTCTTTTACCAGTGCTTGTTAGTGAAACTGTTCTGTGTGACATAACTCCCTGTTATCTCTCGCCTGCTTCCTTCTCTCCTGCTTGCCCACGTCTTTGTTGGGCACTCCCAAGGCTCCCTGTTTCTGTCCCCTTCTGTCTGGCTTTCTGAATGTGTTTCTCCAGCTATGATCCCCTTGGGGTCTGCCTTACCGCTGCTTCCTTTTGCACCTGCAAGGTGGGTAAGTAGCTGGCTTCTCCTCACATAAATCACAGACCCTCCCTACATGTGACAGACTCTATGAGGGGAAGGGAGTGCAGGCAGGAATG